ATACTTTCACTTCTTCTGAATGTTAATACTCAAAATAAATAGATCTTCCATCAAGGACACTCATATGTTAAAAAATTCTCATCTATTAACAGTTGAATCAATATTGTTGTGCTGAAGTTTAAGTATTGATTAAGTATCAAACTCTTCTTTTGGACATCGAAATACAATACAAGTTGGTCGATTTTGATCTTCATCTTGTTTTGAATTAGATGAATTTGCTAAAGTACTTCTTTGATCTACATATGATGCATCAAGAACACTACGTACAATATAAATACCAGTACCAAAATCAGTACCTTTTGGATGATCCCATTGTAGTCCAAGACCATTACGACATATAATCGTCAACCTGTGAAATTCAGAACTTATGAGTTGCTTTCAATAGATATTAGTTAAAGAACGAACATGTAATGAATGTGTTTCAATTTTACATGATTTTAAAAATTATCTTGAATCATATTTTAATGGTATGATGAGTTTATTTTTCTTGTTTTCATACTCCTTTATTTAGTTTGAATTCTTGATTCAACTATACTTACTGCTGTTCAAGTATCTCAACGTTATAGAACAAGTGGCTTCTTACCAGATAAAGCCATTTGTGAGTATTTTTCCAACTCATAAATTTGAATTTTTGTCTTGGTTTTTTTAAATAAAGAGTTAATTGATAAAGGATGTCAAAATTTACGTTTACAAGTGAATAATGAAATAAAAAAAATTATCACAAGAACAATCCGATACATCGAAACAGGATTCAGATATAATTAAAGAAGATTTAAAAGCATTTCAGCTAAGTTGTAACACTGATCACGAATCTGTTAATCACTTAAGAAATCTAAAAAGAAACAAATGGAAAACCTACAATTGATAATGGCTCAAGCTAAAAATGAAAATAATATAGATTCAGCAACGAATATTAAAGAGATAGCTATTCCTGATCTTGAAAAATAAATTAATGGAATATCATATCACATAGCTGAAAAACATAAACGGCAAGATAGTTTATTAAGTGGAATTGTTGAACCTAAAGCTATTGCTGATATGGGTTTGGATTGATATAGGGTGTGGGTGTGCGTGAGTCTTTTCTGTACCAACGCCCATAACCACGCCCACACCATTACTCAAAATACGAACCAAGCTATTCTTTCAACTTGCTTGTGAAGTTAATCATTTTCTCTATAACAAACGCATTAAAAAATCTGTTCTAACGCGTTTGTTAAAGCCTCATTTTCACAAGAAAAAGTATGCATTAAAATACACGTTCAAACACTTTTATTTAAAGATAAAACTTTTTTTCACGAAAAAACGTGTTAAAAACTATGTGTTTAAGTATGTGTATAAAAATTTCGTGTGTTCAGCAAAAGAATTCGAAAAAAAACGCATTCAGATGCATCACAAATAAACGCACCGTAACGCTTAAAATAAAACATGTTCGAACGATGTTTTTGGATGGCATTTTAAATTGAAAAAACGCGTTGTGAATAAACAAAGATGCATTTAAACGTGTTTCAGACAAAAAAATGCGTTTAAACGCAAAAGTAGCGTTTTTATACAAATTTTTTTTTCATGGATACTATACAATTATTTTTCGCATTTTGATGTTAAACATGAACAAGAAAAAGATTGAGTTTTAGCTCGTCTGGTTTCTACTAAGATGAAAACTTCCTGAAACATGGTTGCTACGGGGAGTCACATATATCATTGAATGAAGGATAGAAGAAAAAAAACCTCGACAAAATTTTTTTCTGTTCTTTCTTATTTATTTTGGCAACACGTTTCTGCACGATGCTTCGCCCTTTTTTTGATATCCTTTTTTACATTTGTTGCTGTCTGTTTTTCTTCTTTTCTTCAAAACTATGAATTCAAAAAATTACTAAAGTATTTCTAGAAAAAACTTTTTAAAAATAGTATTGATTTTCAAAATTTTCAGATATTCACTTATTACTATGAGTTTTACTTCGTCTACTTATTCATCTTCCTATTGGTCTAGAGAACCCTTGAATGAAATTTATTCCATATTTAGACATCATGTGGCTTCGTTGTGTGATCAAGAGAGAAAAGTCAATCAAGCAATCGACGAATGGAGCATCGGTCTGATGACTCAAATAAGAGATTATACATCCCAACAAAAACGTCTTCTTGAACAAGTTTATGAAAATCAACGAAAATATCTCGGGAACATGCGTGACCAATTTGTTGAAACAATTTTAATCTATGAACGGAAACGAGATACTGAAGAAATTAATCGACTTCTCGAAAAATGTAAAACTTTAGAAGTGGAATTAGTTAAATTAAACTATCCTTCAAAAGACACACCATTTATTGAAATTACACCAGTAGAATCGTCAGAACGAATGGATCACGAAGAACTCAATCAAGGTAAAACTGCAAATGAAAACTCTGAAAAACCATCCATACAGAAGAATGAAACTGGATCTTTGCTGGGTAGAGGAGGCTCTGACGTTAACTCATATTCAAACCCAACGTATGCAACTGTGAATCAAATAAAGTAAGTTTGTATAATATTAAATTTACTGATTGTACAATTTTCAAACTTATTTTGCAGTCAAACGTCGACAAATACGACCTATCATTCCACAAGTGATAATGATTATAATAATCCAAACGCATTAGATATTGGTGATGATAAATCGAACGATAAATGTCCAGTATGTTACATGATATTTCCATCGACCATGTCAACAGCTCTTCGAACAATTCACGTGGACAAACATTATGAAGATAATTGAGAAAGAAAAATATAAGAGATAAAATTCAAACATGGACCTATATAAACACTTATTTCATCAATGGACACATTGAACTTGTCATTACATTTATTTATATTGTAAAATTCCAGAATGAAAAAATAATGATTCAAAATTTTTCATAATTATCTCATATTGCAAAGACCAGATTAGTTTTAGTGACAAACCACGATACGTGTAAAAAGTTCAGAGTGTGTTTGCGTAGGTTTGAGTGTCGGTGCGGGTACATAACAGATCATAATTCATACCAACATCCATACGCTCGCGAAGAATAGTGATCGACGAATTGTCCTAGCACCGGGATAGAGACCATTCCAAGGGGGAAACATCGTACTTTTATACTTTACGTACTTTACGTACTTTAATGTATTTTATTGTACTTTAAAGTATTTTCAAGTATTTGAAAATACAGTGCACCTTAATAATACTCCCCCCTCCCTTATGTATTTCTAACTTTAAACTATTATAGTTTTCTCTTTTCTAAATAATGAGTATACAGCGAGAAAGCGCAGACTTTACTGCATCATATGGCTGATTGATCATAGGTAATTAAAGCAAATCAGAAGACAAAAAAAATGTCTCCAAAGAAAAGATGATGATTTTTTTTCGATAATTTTTAGCCAGAGCAAATCTAATTTTTATCTTTCCGCTGTTTTTTGTTGTCTCATCGCATAAAACTTCAATAACTGTTTGAATATTTAAAAGTTTATTTTCATCAATGCATCTAGTTAAGTAAAATAACACACTAGCGTCAATTTATTAATCTCGGAATTTGAAAAGCTCCGATATGAAGTTAATGCATAATTTCCTTATGTTAAGCATCGTGGTTCAGAAAAACATTGAGTTCGTTTTCTGTTTTGTCTTCATTTTTTCGGTTCGCTTTGCACGTGTCTCTTTGTCTATATCTATACTGGACGAATATAGCACATATATTTATACGTGTCTGTTGCGTCTGGCCAACGAACAAATCACATATACACTTGATCTATCAACATCGATTTCCACTGTTTACGTTCATTATGAAGAATAAATATAATTCGTACACTACTGCCTTCAAGCACAACGTGTTACAAGAATATCGCTCTGGTGTTTTCGGTTCTGGATTCAAGTCATTAGCCAAACGATTTAAAATAAAAGGTGGTCACAAGCTGATTATGCGTTGGTATCAATAATGGGAAGGCACCGTTCAATCATTAAACCGAAAATCAAAAGACGGTCGACCACGTACAATGACACAAGATCAAGTAAAGCATTATCTATTGAATTTCATTACTATGATGAATAATCAACATAAACCAGTCAATTATAAAATAGTACAATCACATATTGAAGATTCATCAGATCAAAAAGTGCCATTAAGTGACATTCAAAGATATGGTAAAGAATGCGGTATTAAGTGGAGAAAAGTTCAAGAATTAACGCTGCCTAATAGTAAGTGTATGGTCTCATGATAAAGACATATTACTACTTCGTTTGAATGTTTAAAAGCTCATTTAATCATTTTCTGTGCTTAGTCGATGACGAACATTGGAATCAGATTGCTAAATTTCGAAAGTTTTTACAACGAATTCACAATGATAGACTGGTATTTATTGATGAAACAGCTATTTATGCAGTTATGCCACCTCGTCAAACACTTGTAGCACCTGGATATCAACCATTAATTATTGTCGAGAAACCATCAGCTTATGCTCAACGTTATGATTTTATTGGTGCTCTCAATAGTTCACAATCGATCGCTTGTATGACTTTGACACTAGCTGATCGTAAAAATCGAAATATTGAAGGTATTAGAAAAGAAGTAGTGAATGAATGGATCATCAAAATGTTAGCACCAGCAATTAATCGATTAGGTATTAATAATATTTATTTGATATGTGATAAAAGTCGGTCTCATAGCAAGGTGAATATGATGGAAACATTAAAGGCTGGTAAATGTAAATCAGTCGTAGATATTTTTTACATGCCAACAGCATCAGCAAAGTATATGTCACCATTAGATAATCCAATTTGGCATGGATTCAAAGAAGCTATTCGAAGTCAATATCCAGTCACAACAGCAAATCTTCCGTCGCTATTTTCAAAAACTTTCTTATCTTTATCGCGACGACAGATCAAGAATGCATATCGTAAATGCGCCATTGCACATGGTACTGATGTATATTATGATCGATCGTCTACATAAATAATGTTCTTTTTTGTAATCCAGATGAAACATATATTGTCGAAAAAAAATCATCATCTTTTCTTTTGAGATGTTTTTTAGTCTTCTGATTTACTTTAGTTACCTATGATGAACCAGCCATATGATGCAGTAAAGTCTGTACTTCCTCGCCGTATACTCATTATTTAAAAAAGAGAAAACTATAATAGTTTAAAGTTAGAAATACATAGGGGGGAAATATTATTGAGGTGTACTGTAATAGAGAAATCCAATATCAAATGATCGTTCCCGTTCAACTATATTTGATTATAATGAATTTATTATCACTGAATAAAACAAAAAAAAATTTTATTTAATGAAACTGAAAACAAACGATGAAAATTTATTTTTTTATAGGATTTTAAAAGTTTATTTTAAGGTAGAATTCGTTATCGTCGAATGGCTGGTTATTAACCAGAACTTGTTTGTTTATTATCATGATTACCAAATAATAAAGTACCTCTTTTAATAGATATTTCAACTAATTCAAAATATGGGTTGTAGGAATCATTTGTTTTCTTATTAAAAAATAAGCTGTTTTTTAATATATAGATTAGTAGGAGTTTTTTAAAATATTTTCTAAATTTAAGATAATCATGTCTAATTGGAAGTCGATTTCGGATTTTCTCATGGATTTATTTGAAATCAAGTTTCTTCCAGTAATATTAATGAATGCATTTAGTTTTTAAATATTTTACATTTTTATTATAGTGGTGGGTACACAAAAAGATGCGAAGGACATTATATAGCATTTTTTTTAATCTCATGACCTTGCCGTTTTGGTACTTCGGGTATATGTTGTTGTTGGTATTTATTGGAATTCCATTTTGCATGATGTGCTTGTGAGCGTGTATCGGAATCTTGTTTGGCATAGGACTTTGCTGCGTTGGCTATTATATAATTCATATTTGTAACGGACTCAACAAATTATTCAAAAACTATTAATTGATTCTTATTCTAGTTATCATGGCTTTCAAGTAAATTTTTACAGAATGATGGTGATGATGGCATGAACATTTTTTAAATTCATTTTCTTACTTTTTTTCCCTTGTTAATTAAGTAGCTATTCTAGATTTGTTTTTAGATTTGTGTCTTTTATAGAAATAATGATGAAACTTAACTTATCTATTCAAATCATTAACTAGAAGGTTCAATTGAATATAATCCATTTGCGGTTTTACGTGCTTATGTGTGCCCTATTGTGAAGCAACTGGTTCATAAAGTAACTTTTTTATTTATTCTTCATTTAAGCTATTCTTTTTTTATTTTTTAAAGCTCAAACCAATCAAATACTTTCAAGCAACGGGTGATAATGAGAGTGTGGATGTGTGTGTGAGTGTGAGTATGAGTGTGGGTGTGAGTGTGGGTGTGAGTGTGGGTGTGAGTGTGAGTGTGGGTGTGTATGAATCTTTTCTGTGCCAACACCCACACCCACATCCACACAAACACACATCCACATCCACACAAACACACACCCACATCCACACATCCACATCCACACAAATACACACCCACATCCACACATCCACATCCACACAAACACACACCCACATCCCACATCCCACAACCGCACCCATACCCTTACTCAAAATACGAAACAAGATATTCTTTCAACTTACTTGTGAAGTTAGTCATTTTCTCTATAACAAGCGCATTAAAAAATCTGTTCTAACAGGTTTGTAAAAGGCTCATTTTCACAAGAAAAAGTATGCATTAAAATACACGTTCAAACACCTTTATTTAGAGAAAAAACCTTTTTTCACAAAAAAACGCGTTGTAACGCTTAAAATAAAACATGTTCGAACGATGTTTTTGGATGGCATTTTAAATTGAAAAAAACGCGTTGTGAATAAACAAAGATGCATCTAAACGCAAAAATAGCGTTTTTATACAAATTTTTTTTTCATGGGTACTATGCAATTATTTTTCGCATTTTGATGTTAAACATGAACAAGAAAAAGATTGAGTTTTAACTCATCTGGTTTTTACTAAAATGAAAACTTGCTAAAACATGATTGCTACAGAGAGTCACATATATCATTGAATGAAGGATAGAAGAAAAAAAACCTGGACAAATTTTTTTCTGTTCTTTCTTATTTATTTTGGCAACACGTTTCTGCACGATGATTCGCCCTTTTTTTCATATCCTTTTTACATTTGGGTATGGGCGGGTGTGGGGGGGGGGAGGAGAGGGTGGATGTGGGATGTAGGTGCGGTGGATCTGGGTGTGGATGTAATTGCACGTAATAGCAGCACCCACACACCCACACCCTTATTGAGTTATACATAGAAAGATACAGTTCTTCACAGGCTGTCATTGATATTTAAAAAGTTTTGAGAGAAAAATTACTCCGATATACTTTTAAGGTAAAAATATAAAGAATTTTCATAAAAAATGGTCATTATTGTCTATTTCTTGAAGCAGAGATCAATGCATTTTAAACACGATTTACGTTTGATAATCTTATTTTATGATGGTGTATTTAACACATATAATCAAGATACGTTAGTTAACACAAAAAAAGGGGCGTTCTTCAATAGTAATATATGTTGTCACAAAGTGTTAAATAGATATCTCTACAATTCATCAAAATCTTCGAAAATTCATAAAATAGTACCTGAGAGTAATTTGAAAAACATCTTCATATCTCTGATTGGACTTTAAAAAAGAACTGAAATTTTGAATATGAGCATAGCTTTTTACCAAGTTTCAAAAGTTATAATTCGTTTCAAAATCCTCTCTCAAGCATACAGATCAGTCTATTTTCAATTAATATGAAACTTCTCGTCTAAAACTAGATTAATTCAATCATATATCATTAAAAGTTTTTCTTTATTATGAAATATCCGAAATCAAAAAAACTTTCGAAGTAATTTCGAGATTTTCAATTCAGAACAAAAATTAAAAAACTATCAACTATCTACAATATGCCTTTTTACACATGGATAGAAGAAAAAAATACAGTGACATAATAGAATCCAATAAAAATAAAAGTCTTTTGTTAATATTAATCATTGATTATTTCAAATCGTTCGTCATTATTTCCAGTTCTTCTTGCTACTTTTTTGGTAACTGGCAACCTATTGAGAAAAATGAAATAAAAGTATTATATAAAATATTATTTACAAATTCTGTAAATTGCACTCTTCATTTAGACGATCATCAAGTGTGCGCTTTTGTCCATTGCAGTTTACTAAAAAGGCAAATATATACAAATATGAAATCAAAAATTTAAATATTAAAAAAAAACGAATCGTTATTATTTCACTGTACATTATGAGCATAGCAGTCACATACCATTTATAATCATTTCTCCACTTCACCATAGGTCAGGGTAATATGTTATAGGTGATGATATAGAAGAATCTTCACAATATAAAGGTTGAATCTCCACCGAACAATGAATGGGACCAATTAAACATTCATCTCGCTTGACTATTTCGAAGCATGTTCTATAAAAAATAATAATAAAATACAAGATTATTCATATATGTTCAAAAATAAAATGAAATATGTCAAAATAAAAGTGTTTCTTTTTCTCATAAGCCTTCATCGATATCGAGTTCAGTTTAACAATGTTTGATAGTATCAAAAGGTAAATCAAAATATTTTTATCCGACTTTTATTAGTATAGAATTACAGTTTTCATTCATTAACTATTATGGTTCTCATTCCGATTTACAATACAGCAGAGAATTCATTGTTCACAAAATTCAAAATGTTCAACTTACTCGAAAGATTCTTCTTTACAATTTACATAACAAAATTCCGTCATTTGATTATTTTCAATAATATAAAAGCCATCGATTAATGAAATTTTTAACCGTTGATGACCAGTACCAAGTGTACAATGGAATCTTTCAGGAATCTAGGTAAATACATAATAAAAAACTTAATATAGTTAATAAGTTCTATTATTATTATACGAACTTTTATTTTACATTTCATGAAATATCGAGCATTAACGAGAGAAACAGTGGACTGCTCAATATAAATTTCGACTTGCAAGTCTTTCTTAACATGAGTCTTTTTGTCTAAGTGTGAAAATAAAGAATATTAAATAAACTAAATAATTCGTAGATAGAAAATTACCTTGAGATAATTGATTTGACCAGAAGATGACTGTATTAACATTAGGAAAACTAATGGCAGCTCGTACAACTCTCAAATTATATTGATCTAAGATTTTCTTTACAGTCTTTGCTATTACTTTTTTTTCTTCGCCTGAAAAAAAATTAAATACAGATTGAGATATAAAGCTAACTTCATTGTAATGTAAAATCAAAATAATATTTTAGATATAAATTGTCGAATTTTAAAAAAAGTGAAATTGTTTTTTTTTATAGAGATGCAAAAAGATATGTGCGTACCTGATGGATAGGATTTTAGTGAAAAAGTTTGTTTTTTTCCTTCGTTTGCACTCCTTCCCTTATTCTTGTCTATTTCGTTGTTAAGATATTTCTGAATCCAGAGCTCTCCGAGTCTGAAAAGAAAAATGAATTTAATAAATATATGTATTAAAAAAATTTTTTAAAAATCTATTTCAATTATCAATATATTTATGTCATATCAAATCGGTTAGACTTACTTAATTCTTTGTGGACTGCCACCAATTACTTTACATTTGACAGATAATATATCAGAATATGTTCCGTCGTTTTTTGTTGAGAGGCTATAAGGACTAAAATGATTTCCATCCTGAGATTGTGATACCATGCTTAAATCCATATCAACATTACCAGAGGGTAACCGACCACTACTCTGAAATATTAAAATCAATATGAAAAGACAATATCTGCTTTTTTCAATCCGATATACCACAATTAATTCTAGTGGATTGTTAAAATCATCCGTGAGTGAAACAGGTCTTCTTACTTTCGTCATCTCTTCGAATTTAGTTTTAATTGGATGACGTAAATGGACTGCAACAGGTTCATTTAATAAATCTGAAAAGAAAACATCTTATGTTGATTATTTTTTGATAAAAGCATATCTTAAAATTCTTACTAGTAGTAGATGAATTGTTGTTGGTTCCAACTACTTGATGTAGTAGCTGATAATCAACAGAAATCGACGATGATTTATGTTGGCTATTCTTTGATTTTAACTTAATTTGTCGTTGATTTTCTAAAAAAATAGTTAAAATAGATATGAAAGTTGAATAATTATGTCTAATATACCATTTATCACAGAGACGTTTTTTGGGACTATCGATATAGCTACAACAACAAATAATATTAGAAAAAGAAAGATTTCATTTGATCTTACCATTATCAGTATTACTCATTGAACCCGACGTTTGATCTGCTATTTTGTTGGATACCTCGTTGCACTCTTTTCCAGTTTTAGCTTTTTTTTGACTTTTTTGATATCGAATTCTATCAATTTCATCAGGTTTCGTAGATGATTGATTATTAAAATCTACATGGTAAAAATTAATAAACACATATTTGTTGCAAATAATCGAGTTTACATAATTCATTTGTTGTTACATATGTAGCATGAGTTCGAATCTCCTCGTGTTGGTTATTTTTCATAAAATTTCCATTTTCTGTAAATAAAACAAAAACAAAAAGATAGAGTTGAAAAACTTTATGAAACTTCCTATACATACGTATATCTTCGAGTATTCGTTGTTCTTCGGATATTCCACCTATGTAAAAAAAAGAATAATATTTTTATATATACAAAATCAACTTACTATTTGTTGTTGTGATTGTTGATATTTCATTAGCAACAAGTGATAATTGAGAACCTAAATTTAATCACAAATGATATTTCAATAATCATAATCAATATTACCATTTATTGTTGACATTAACTCAGTTTGTTGTTGAGCAGTTGCATTATTTGAAATATTTGATTGTAATGACAATGGAGACTTTTTCATCAATGATTTAATCATTTGTTCTTGTTTCTGCAATTTCTCCATAATTTTTTCATCATTTTTTGCTCGTTCTGAAAAGCTTGCTAATAGGATTGCAATCATTTGTTCTTGTTTCTGCAATTTCTCCATAATTTTTTCATCATTTTTTTCTCGTTCTGAAAAGCTTGCTAATGGGATTGCAATCAATTGTTTTAAATTTTCGATAGATGCCATAAGTGGTGCTATATCCTGTTTTTCTAAATTAAAGGAAACCGAAAAGTATAATCTTGACAAGTTAATATATAGGATGTATGGAAAATAACTCCAGAAAGAATAAATGCAATACATATTTCCACCATATTTTGACTAAACGAGCCAATATTTTTATTACTGATAAAGGAGTCAACATAACTCGTATTCAAGAAGGAAACATTATCAGATATTGTTTTGAAGTAGTACAATTAACTTTAACAAAAAACTGTAACCTTTCATGAATTATTAAAAACCTATAATGCAGTTTTCTCAATAGCTGAAACTTGCAAAGTACACTGAGTAATGAGACATGTATCTGCTTAAGCAAACGACACTAGTACGACGAAGTACTTGAAAAAATTCGATATCATTTATTTTTGGCTAAGGAAATGAATAAATTCTTTTTTTATAACTCGAACTAGGTTATAATTTTTTGTTGTAGTTACTTGTTCTATTTCAAAACGAATTCTGATGTTTCCCTCAGGAATATGAGCTATACATACTTTTTTATCAGTGGTAAAAATATTAGCCTATTTAGTCAAAATATGTCGAGAATATGTACTGAACCCATTCTTTGTGAGAGTCACTTTTTGAATATCCTATATAATTGTATTTACGTAAATAATTCTCATTCAACGGCATAAATAAACCTATATGAAAATAGAAATTTGATTGAATAAATGTATTTATTGTTGTCTTATATATTTACTGTCGAGATTCGTATCAATATTAAACTGTGGTGAGATACTACTTTGTCCGGAGTAGACATTATTTAGGTGAAGAACAGGTGGTGATGGAGTACACAATGGTGATGAATTATCTAAATTATATATTATAAATTTTTAATTAGTATTATATTTGCTTACTCACCATCAGTATGATTCATATTATTTTGCCTACAAATTTATAGTAATTAAATATATATATATATTTATGTGAATACGAAAAAACTTTAATACATATCGTCTTAAATAATTACTTACATAGTAATTGAATGTTGCGCCATATACGAAGTACCATATGTTACTCATTTATATTTATACTCATGTTTAGGGAAAATTCCGTTGCAGTAGTCGCCATTTGTCTCAGGAAAAAAACCTTGCTTCTAAGTAATATCCGGAATCCAATGAGCAGACTTAGCATGATGAATTATTTCTTTAAAAAATTAATTTTTGATATTGATAAATTTGTTCTCTGTTATGAGAATTGAATACAAAGTTGTTGAAATTAGCTGATTTTGGAAGATAGATGGCAGTAATGAATGAGTTACATTATTTATTATGTCTTACTGAGATGAAAAATTGTATCAATTTATCAATTTTTAATAATAGGTTTTTTTCTGAAATCTTTCATACCGTTCAAGAAAAAACGGGTTTCAGATGTGCACTTGTCTTAGTAAGATTCTTTTCAACTTGAAATGAGGCTTAGGTACTTAGAACAAATAGCTGACTCGTACTATAATTGATGTATTGAGACGAAAACAAATTTATCAGGACAAGTAGTTGACTGAAAAATTGCTACATTTCATATGGTCAACTGATTTAATAATTCGAGTTGTGATATATTCTATAGAAATAGTTCTCTAAATAGCGTTCTTAACAATCTTCGATTTCAATTTCAAACTTCCAAAAAACACAGAATAAATAGAAATATACAATTTTTTTACAGGTTTCTATAACCGTGGTATATTGTTCTAAAGAACAGAAGATGTTGGGAATAGAAAATAAAGCAAATATTGGTCAAATTTATAATGTTTTCAAAAACTTCTAATAAAAAAGTAAAATAATAAGAATGAAATTCATATTCATAGTATATTATATTAGAGAAAAAATCATTCGTAAAACTTGTTCATATAGCAATGAGATGACACGATTATTTGTCCTTATTTTCAAAAAAGAAATTTAGATGAAGTATGCACAACCATACAATGCTTTTATAAAATAAAATGAAAGAATAATGTAGTTCACTTTTTATTTTAATTCAAGATGTCTTTTTCTATGAACAAGATCTTTATTAATTGTTTGGAAATAAAAAAGAATTTACTTTTGTTAATATTTATAGCAAAGGTCAATCTTATCGTTTAATGGTTGAAATTCTTTTTTCTAATCATTTCATAAATGTTGAAATATAAAAAGATCTCATCTTTGGCTTTGGTTTTCTGTTTTTTTTATAAACAATAGATGCATGTTAACGACAGTTATTGTTTGCTTTTCCGGTTTATTTTTCTTTAATGATATAAATTGTCAAATATCAGTATAAAATAATGAAATATTAATATTGCTCTCTTAACAATATTTTTGAAGAGCTGATTAAAAAAGTAACAAAAATTAACTTATGATCAATCTATGTTCTACGTATTAGCTAAATTCCTTTTATTTGTGTACAATCTTTAGGACTGACTACTACTTCACCAATAATAATAATATGGATAACATGGATTTTTGTAAATAGATTGAAAACGTCAATAGATCGAGCAACACATAAATTATAAGTAGACCAACACTTGGTCTATCATATGATCTTTCTAAATTAATTTTTTAATTTTTTAATAGAAAAACGTCAAAAAAAGAAAAAATTAAATTAAATGTTCTTTTTTGCTTCTTATGTTAAATTTTCGGTCAAATTGAAAGACCATCATCAGAACTGGATCATTAGTGAAGTTGAGTGCGATGTTGAATAAACGATGTGAGTAAAACACGTACAATTAATTAATGTTAATGTTAATGTTAGGGTGTGGGTGTGGGTGTAACTTCTAATCTTCTCTTCAGCCACACCCACACCCACACCCTCATAATATTTAAAGAATTCAGTTTAGTGTCTTGTGGTTTCAAAAAATGGCAGCAGATACGTTGTCAAACATCGACTGTTATCAACTCTATAAAACCTCAATGAATATTCATCATGAGTAATTCCACAGATATACAACCGTCTTTTGTGCTGATTAGGCGTACAATGAATAGAAAAGTATCTGTGACTTGTACTTGAAATCCTGTACTTTCATGTCGTTTTTTAGAAGCATTTAAGGAGGAGAAGAGTCAGCTATCGATTATTGAATTTTTGTAAGTTGATATTTGATCGAAAGATAGGTACATACAAGACTAGCACAATCTCGAAATGGTTCTTTTTCTCAATGCGTTGTGACCGATATATAAGATTTTTATGTAGAACAAATATTGCGTAATTTGGACTAAAATGTTTTTTCTCCACAGTAAACATATAAAAATCGTTGTCCTGAAAAAACTCATATGGGATAAGAGTTCTGTGAAGCTCTTACTCTAGTCACCATTTGTTGTCGAATTAAGTATAAGCTTTAAATATCTTAATAATCTGACTGATATTCTTTCTCATTTGAGGTTCCTGGAGAATGATCTGAAGCCACATAATTTAGGTAATTTTCAAATATTGTTTTCGAGCAAAGTTATTTTGCTATGCTATATGCCTAATGAGCAGAAAGAAATAGAAAAAAAACCTTTTTCTCAACAAATGGTCGGATATGCATGGATGTAGCCTATAAAAGTATGCAAACATATCCCATTAATATATATATAAAAGAATTTCAATTATCTCTTCCCTGTTGTAATCAAACAAATTTTTTTTTCTATTGATCTACTGTCTGATGAAATGATTGCGCTTATCTTTTACTGGTTATTTCTAAATGCACTGTGTGAACATTTTTTATAAAATGAAGCAAATAAAGAGATTTATATATATTTAGAATCAGCATAGTATCACTAATAATTTCCACTAAAAATTTTGGTGGTCATTTTCAGAAAAAATGATAGATGGCGCTCTATGCTGATTGTGTTCCACAACGGCAATGTTTGCTGTCAACGTGAAAAACTTTTAGAATTCATAGAACAGCATGTGAGCTATCCGGTTGGCGCATAAGTTCTGCACGTTTGGATCAGTAGAATTATATCGCCAATATAAAACTACATTTTAAGGAAAGTAATTATATATTCTAATAGCGCTCGGAATTCTCTATCACCCTATATATTTAAGTCTTGACTTGCATTTATTTGCTGAAAAATATTTCGAGTGCACCGAAGACACCCTCACCCTCATTTGACAATGTTCGAAACATTTCTCAGAAAATAAGTTCAAGCCAACACTGAATATACAGAATGATAGAGCATTTCAAGAGCTCTCAGAATATACAATTACTTTTCTAAAAAAATGGATTACTGTATAGATAAAAATTTTAAAAACATATGAAAAAGGAACAAAAAGTGAAGTTCGTGGAAATCTACAGGTGAGGGTGTCTTCAGTGTACTCGAAATATTTTTCAGCAAATAAATGCAAGTCAAGACTTAAATATATAAGGTGATAGAGAATTCCGAGCGCTATTAGAATATATAATTACTTTCCTTAAAATGTAGTTTTATATTGGCGATATAATTCTACTGATCCAAACGTGCAGAACTTATGCGCCAACCGGATACATTTTATGCATTCTATGATGCGTTGAAACTGCTTATACCAACGGCTTTGGTTTACTTTTCATTGTTGCTTACGCAGACTCAAGATGACGCCATTTGGTGACGTCCAAATGTTAGAAAAAATAATGATGACCACGATGAAGATATGATATTACTATTTTATAAACTATCCTGAATTTTTTATGAGATCATCGTTTTAATTGAGACATTTTTTTAGTCACCCGAAACAGGTGCATCAGTGGATTCGTTTTAGAAATGATGGAATGAATCATTCGCATCAGCTTGTAGACTATATGGTAATGAGCAACTGAATTACAATTTCACATATTTCAGATTGATGATTCATCCACATCGTATAATGCAGACAACGACAAATTTAACGTCTCTGTCTCGCCATGTTTGATTGCGAACGTTCCTCCTCGTGTTTCATTGCACTCACCTCTCATCGTGGTTTGTTTTTTTTTCGTTACTAGGAGACCTTTCATGTTCATCATACTTTTTTTATGATAGAGAGAATATTCATTTTATTTATTGTAACGAGAAGGCATCATGGCATTGAGAAAGCAGCGCAACAACTTACGTACTACTATCTTTGAGGCACTACAAGCGATTTGGACGTTACGAAACGATGATTCAATTGGATCATCGCTAATAAATTTTTCTGCTCTTCATCACATTAATGACACTTCTCTTCAATATTTTCAAACTGGCAATTTATGTAGTGAAGATGTTCAGTTGCCATTGAAGCGTCTTGATGCATCTGCTGAGTATACGGTGGTATGGCTGCATGATGGTACGAAGTTGCATAACGATACTGAAGAAGATACATTAACAAAACTACAGTGCGTCTTTAATCATGTAGAAACATTCGATAATGTGAAAAAATGTATCCATTTTCTTCGACAACTTGATGCCAGTACAACTCGACTATTTATTGTCACAAGTTGTTACTATGAAGGCATGGTATGTGGATCAGTTCTCATTATCTTTGGTGATTTAAATGAGTAGAAACGTTTAACTATTTTTAGCCTCTGATGATGATAGAATCCTACTGAAGTCGGTTATAAAGATAGTACATTGGAAAGTTACAACTATAAGTTGCAAAAACGAACATTTAAGATTTCCCATTCTATACTAATATAGACAGAAACTCACTAAACTTGATAATTGTACAGTGTACCAAATATTGAAGTTCTGTTAACTGAACGTTCAGGAATATTCGTAAAATTAGCAAGATAATATTGTCAATGGATACATAAGTTAGAATTCTACTCTTGCTATCATCCCTACATTTGTCAGACGTTTTCAGACAACTAATGGAATTTCAAAAAAGATCTTCGCTTAGAACCATGTTTTTGTCAAAATTTATTGTTGACCTGCCGTCGATATAAATCTTTCTATAAGGAAAAATGTATCTGTCCCAGGCAAAATTAAACTTTAGGCAAAA